ACAGCAGCATGCGAACATACTTCGACCCCATGCTTAATTCCTGTCGAACCAGAAGCTACCCTTCGATCATACTAGAGTTCGATCTAACATCTCACAAATCTCCACCTTGGATCTAACTCTATAACATTAATAAATTAGCTTTCTTCGTGCAGCTTTATCAACTGCATACAGTGGAAAAACTTGCAACTGGACAATGTCTTGGTGATCATATCAGCAACATGTGAACATATTTCGATTGTTGATTTACTATATTCCCCCAAGTCTCCACCATAAATTAGGACTCTATTCAGAGACCCATTTATGTACCTTAGAATCCACTTCAATGCTTGCCAGTGAGCCTTTCCAAGATTCGTCATGTACCTGCTTACAAGACTTACTGCATATGTTATGTCGGGTCTAGTACAGACCATAGCATACATCAAAGTACATATTATATTAGCATATGGAATGCTATTCATATAAGTTCTTTCAATATTAGTGTTGGGACACTGATTTATACTCATCTTGAATTGAGGATTTGTCGGAGTCACAACAGGCTTTGAATTCGACATACCAAACTTTTTGAGAACCTTCCGTAGGTATGCCTCTTGAGATAAGCATAATTTTGACTGCTTTCTATATCTTCGGATGTAAATCCCGAGAATCCTGGACGCAGCTCCCAGATCCTTCATGTCAAACTCCTTATTGAGTTCAACCTTCACCCTCATTACATCTTCGACATTGTTGCTTGCTATTAAAATATCATCCACATAGAGCAACAAAATAAAAAATGAATTACCCGATCAAAATTTGAAGTAAACATAGTGGTTGAACTGACTTCTGATGAAACTTATGCGTGTCATGAACTTGTCGAATCTCCTATTCCACTATCGTGGAGATTGTTTCAGTCCATATAAGGATCTATTCAGCTTGCACACATAACTTTCCTTCCCTTTTTCGACATACCCTTCAGGTTGCCTCATCTAGATTGTTTCATCTAAATCACCATACAAGAACGCAGTCTTCATATCCATCTGTTCCAGTTCAAGGTCGAATTGTGTCACTGTGGCAAGCAACATTCGAATGGATTTGTGCTTCACAATAGGAGAGAACACACCATTGAAGTCGACACCTTCTTTCTGAGTGAACCCCCTAGCAACCAATCTTGCCTTGTATCTCTTCGACGCCACTCCTTCGATTCCTTCCTTAACTTTGAAAATCCATTTACATCTGACTAACCTGGCTCTAATAGGTTTCTTGATCAGTTCCCATGTGTTGTTATCATGAAGAGATTTCATCTCATCATCCATGACCTTCAGCCATTCAGTCTTCTTTCGACTCCTCATAACTTCCTTATAGTGTCTTGGTTCTTCATCTAGAACCTCAGTTGTAGAGATTAAGGCATAAGCTATAAGATCTGCATACCCAAGTCTCTGAGGTAGCTTGATGAATCTCCTCGACCTGTCTCTTGCTAGCAGGTAGTCATTATCAGTCTCCTCATCTTCGACAACATCTTCTGTGTCTTCTTTGACTTCATATGGGGTACGCAGTTCAACATCAACATGCTCCACCTCAACAGGAATATCTCCCTGTTCCAGCTCTTCGTCAGCATCATCAGTTTTCTTGAAAGTCATCTCTGCTTCATTGAAAACTACATCTCGACCGGTGATACACCTCATATGACCTGGCTCTAGGCACCATAGCCTATAAGCTTTGACTACTTCAGGGTATCCCATGAACATGCATTTCAGAGCTCTAGATTCGACATTGTCTTGCCTAATACGAGCATAGGCCACACAATCAAATACTCTCATTCTGTCGAGACTAGGTGGATGTCCCGACCAAACTTTTTCAGGTGTTTTCATTCCCAAGGCAGTCGAGGGACATCTATTTATCAAGTAAGTTGTTGTTGAAACAACTTTCTCCCAAAACGCCTTCTTCAATCCAGCACTAACCAACATGCATCCAACCCTTACAAGGATTGTTAGATTGAATCTTTCATCTAAGCCATTTTGTTGAGGAGTACCTGCTACAGTCTTATACCTTGCAATCCTAGACTCAACACAGTAACTGTTGAACGCTTCATTGCAGAATTCAAGACCATTGTCGGTTCTCAACCTCTTGACTTTTCTGCCAGTTTGAGTTTCGACCAGAATCTTCCAACTTTTGAAATTCTCAAAATCTTCATCCTTCGTCTTATGGATGAATACCTATAGCTTTTTGGAATAGTCATCAACGATGGATAGAAAATACTTTGCACCTAAGTGTGAAGGATTCCTTGCAGGCCCCCAAAGATCAGCATGAATGTAATCCAAGGATCCATGTGTTCTTTTCTTGCTTTTGTTAAACTTCGCCCTACAGGATTTACCAAATACACAAGATTCATAAAACTTCAACTTTTCGACTTTGTCACCTCTTAGTAGGTTCTGCTTCCCCAATTCGACCAGGCCTCTTTGTTGACATGGCCCAATCTCATGTGCCATAATTCGTCTTCGACACAAGTTTCGTGGATGCAACATTTGTCAAACCATTTACAACCTCAACCTCAAGGGCATACAAGTCTTGTTTCTTCACGCCTCTCAAGACTTCCTTCAACCCTTTTATGACTCTTAAGATACTTTTCTCTCCTTGAAAAACATATCCCTTTTTGTCGATTCACCAAGAGAAATCAATTTCTCTTCAAGTCAAGTATATACCTGACTTCAGTCAATAACCTTATTGACTCATCATGGAGCTTGAATCTCACATATGCAATACCTGCAATTTTGCAAGATTTGTTGTTTCTCAGCAGTACAGATCCACCATCTTGATCACATAGCTCCTCGAACAATTCTTTGTTTGGAGTCATGTGCCAAGTGCAACCTGAATCCATAATCCACTCTTTTCTCGAGTCGCCACTTGAAACCACAAGAACATCAGATGAGTCGAAGTCATCTTGAACAATGGTTGCGTTGTCACTACATCCATGATCTTTCAGGCGTTCAGGGCACACCTTTCTTGTGTGACCGTCCTTCTTACAGTGATAACATCGAATACCAGATGTTTCGCCACTATAAGACTTCTGTTGACTTTTACCTTTCTTCTTGTCAAACTTACCATCCTTTCGCAAGAATTTTTCCTTAACGGTCAAACCTTCGCCCACCGTCGAAGGTTTATGCTTCTTTCGTTCGTTCAAGTCTTTATAATACAAGGCTGATTGAACTTCTTTAAAGGTCAGGGACTCCCTTCCATACAAGAGAGTTTCTTTGAAGTGAGCATGTGTTATAGGCAAAACACAAAACAACAACAACAGTGTTTGATCTTCATCGTCGATCTTTACATCAATATTTTCAAGGTCAAAAATCAACATGTTGAACATATCCAACTGCTCAGCCAACACTTTGTCTTCACTCATCTTGAATGAATACAAAGCTTGCTTCGGGTAGAGTCGGATGTCTTTAAACAAAATATAAATGATTTCTTTATGATCAAGAAACAGACAAGGGTTAGGGTTAACAAAGAAAATAAGGTAAAACAACAAGGAACAACAAGGATTGGTTATAAACTGTTATTCTTTCTTTACTCTTAGAACAAGATTACAAGTATACAAGAATAACAAAATAACCTCTCTCTCTCTCTTGAAATTAGAATTTTATCTTCCTATTTTTCCTTATGCCAAGATTGAGAAACTAACATCCTATTTATAAGAAAAATAGCAGACTAACCTAATGGGCTTTTTAACAATTACCCATTACAAGCTAACTTAAACAATTGACCTTACAAACAAGGCCCAATTCAACATGTTAACAACCCTAGCAATATTGACTAATGCATGTTAGAACAAACTTCGACTACAACAAGCATTACTCCGACAGCAGCATGCGAACATACTTCGACCTCATGCTTAATTCCTGTCGAACCAGAAGCTACCATTCGACCATACTAGAGTTCGATCCAACATCTCATAACTTCTATTTTCATTTTCAATTTTAATCAATATTACTTCCATTTTCATTTTCAATAGATCGAAATCATCGTTTCAGAGAAATTTGTCGATATATATTTAATACTCATGGTGCAAACATGAAAATTTTGTTTTGATTTTCAAAGAATGACGCAACTAGTTGAGTAGATTGACTAGAAAAGTGGAAAAAATAGCAATGGCAATCAAATTAATCAATAACATATGAAGACAAAGATTATTTCCAAGAACGGTTCTAGGACCTATGTGAAAACGAGATACTAAAAAATCATTTAAAAAAACAAATATAAAGAGAGTATAGGAACAACTGTTGTTTGTTAATTCTATTTGACCCAAAAAGATGCATACATCTTCGAGATGGAACAACTCTTCAATTCATTATGAATGTACCTTTGCAAAAAAATACAAAAATATCACAAAAAATTAACCTCAACTGCTTAAGATGAATAACCCTTAGTTTGTCATTTTTTTTCTCCTAACCGTCACTCTAGGATTTAATAGGAACATTATTGAACCCTAGGGATTCTTAACTATCCAAAATGTTTACAATATGTTTCATAACCATGTTCCCTTATTTTTCACAATGTTGTCTTCCAATACTACACACAATTGTTTTAAAATAAAGGGAGAAAAAACAACATAATTTAAATCATACTAACAATTTTAATTTGAATCAACCTATGCAGAAAATCATAAACAACATTTTTACAATACGATTCAAATCATCCTGTTAGCATAATTTGAATCCACTCCTCCAAGAAAAAAGAGGAACAAATTTGTATAACATGATTGCACTATTTTGTTTTCATATGCAAGATTCTATGTTGAAATTGCAATGCTGCTCCTTGGCAAAAAGAGACACAACCTGTACCCATTCTACAATTGTCCCAATAAAGCATTGTTACCTTACATGCCTTTTTATGGGAACAAAAACAAGTTGCCTTATAAAAGAGATTCTAGTAATGTTCATTATACAAAAACCATATTTGTCAATGTATACCCTTTGAATATTTCATTTCTTTTCATTTGTATTATGATTTGATTCTGTTATTCTTCGTAATTATCTTCCATTTGGCATAGAGGAGGATCTTGAAACAGGTTCTTGTCTAGCACTGAATGGTACTGATGAAGATACTGAAGCTGAGGGTCGAAGGAGGGGCGTAACAGCCCTACTTGAAGTTTCGTTAGCAATAGGGGAAGGGGTGGTCGTAACAGCTGTTACCGGTTGTAATTCTACTTCAGTGCCAGTGGCAATGTCTTGAAGGGAATCGTCGATTATTCGATGATCGTCTTCTTCAATAGACAATACAGTGCTTGTGTCCGTATGAACGGTGGAGTCATCAGGGAACATACCATGTCTTCTCTTCTTCCTTGCTGCTTTACCCCACCCATGAATGGTTTCCCTTATTCTCTGTGGAATTAATGCTGCCTTATAATTTGTTCCCATCTGAAATAAATGAAGGAAAGTTGTTTATGCTATTGCATAATACATTATAGTACTAGTAATTATTCAACTCCAAAGTCCAAACTCAACATGGAGTCTGCAACCACTGTAGCACCGACACCTCTGAAAAACGGTGTGTCTGCGTCCATGTCAATGTCGAACACCAATACCGACACGACACTGATACTTGTGATAATGTTCAGTTTATTCATTATTTCAAATTATTACTGATGTCGAGGTGTTGGTGTCGTGTCCGGTATCTGTGTTTGTGTCCGTGTTTCATAATCTGCAACCCTCTCCAATCTCCGGCCAAATTGCCAGTCATTGTGGCCAGAGAGGACTGGAACGAGTTTTTGGTTGCAGGCAGATTCTTACACTTCAAAATTACAAATTCTGAGTTTGAGAGCATGGGAACATGTGTCAACACTAAAACAAATACACACTTGATTACCTGTGTAACAAGTGCGTAAAGTGGCAAGGTGCTGTAGCTGCAAAGAAACTGTCCGGCAAATCTACAAGGTTGAATACAAAAAAGGATAAAGGTTAAAAATCCAGATAGAGATAAGAAAAACAGAAGCTATCTTGATTTCTCCATACCCCAAGATTAGCCTTAAATAAACAAGGAGGTGGTTCCTAATAAAGCAGGAGTTATATCCAAACTGCCACTGCAGTAAAAGAAAAGACATTTTATTTAGACGTTTTATCGATATATTCTGTTTGAACTGCATAATAAAGAATCTTGTTTAAGTTATTGGGTAATTTGTTTTTTGAGCAATATAACTGATTCTTAATTCTACATCTTAACATGGATAAGGAAGTACCCAGAACCAAAAGAATGAGGCCAATTCAAATGCGTTCTGCGAAAGAAAAGAAAATAGAAAACATCAGAAATTAAGAAGAAAATAACAATTGTAAGCAAGAAATAATTGCACAAGATGTAGACGAACCATGAACAACCTGGAAGAGAATGAAATGGATTAAGGAAAGTAATAGTTCAGGCTTTTTAAACCAGAAAAGTTCATCGCGAGGCCTCAACTTAGCTTCCGAGAAGAAACCAGCAATTCCAGCATTCTCCAGCGCTAACGTTGCAATAACTTGCTGCAGCTTTGTTCCCACCAAGAGAACAAGCTGTTCTTCAACATTAACACATAAGAAATAGCATGACACGTCAAAAGAGCAACCACACGCGATTCACAAAGTCAATGGTTCAGAAACAAAAGTGAAAAAGTTCAGAGGGAATGAAAAAGGTAACTTACAGATATAGGAATGATAGCTATCCAGAAATATAGATTAGATCCTGTGTTAAACACAAAAAATGTGAATTTTCAAAGGTATGCAAAACTGAGTATAACCTAGTCACACCAACTTGAAGTGGAATGGAAGGTTTTGCCAAAAGAAAAATCCATGGAGAATTTAATGGAGATGTTATAAACTAATAATCAAGGAAAAATATTATAAACTACTTTCACCTCGATTTCTAACAGTATGCAATACCTTTAATGTTGAAAAGCATGAAACCGACAACGAATCCCCAAAGTGGGCCACTACAACAGATTTTACAAAAAAAGAGACAGGATTATCAGCTTTCAACGTCATCAGAACCAAGTTGTGAAAAACGAAAGAGATAATAATATACCAACTATCAAGGCACAAAACATAATTCACAAAATGACTAAAATTTGACATCTAATTCTAAAAGAGATTGTCATGAAGCTGCAATAATAGTTACTGCTGAATCTCCGCTAGTACTAACCTCACACCAACTATCTTTTGGAATTCTTCTTCCATAGATCGAACCATGTAGCTGTGGAAATCATATTTTGATGAAAGGTTGTGATTCTGCCATGATCACGGAAATCAGATAATAAAATAATTAACATTCACAATACTACACAATTCCAAGAAACCTGACATACAATACAAGCACCTTCATTAAGCAAAAAATTTAATATCAAACAAACGCATGAAGTAATTTTAAAAGGCATATTTCCAGTCCATCAGAAAATTAGAACTGAAGATTTTTTAACAGAAAAATAGAAGTTTAGAGATACGAGTTAGAAAAGCTCGTGAATCTTTGTCAAATGGTGAGTTATTATGATATTTTGAGAAAAACATGCAATACAATGAGATAAGAACCATATGACTCAACAATTTACACCTGAAATAACTTTTATTGCATTATTCCATACCATGATGAAGCCTTTGCGAAGGGTAAGGTAGTCAGCACGAACCACAGATCGCCCAAATTGTCGATAAAAGCATGTCTGCAACTTGATCAAACTTAAACATATAAATATATGAAACCAGGATTCGTCCCATCAAAACTTCTTACATATACATGCTTGTTGAAACAGAACAAGATGGGTAAAATGATGCATAATAAATTATGGAATGAAGAGTCTTAGGTGACTAAAATATATTCATACAAAAAAAGTGTGCCATCAAAAGATGCTGACAGTTATAAGAGATTCATGTAATTAAAGAAAACTATGCAACAAACTTAAATGAAATGAATTTGAATGGAAGTGAGGAAACAGATGGAGATATTTAACTACCATCCATATAGCTAACGGGTTTGATGTATGAGTCTTTACAAAGGTTGATTGCCTTCGCATAGTCAGCTGCCTAGTAATATCTGTCGCGCAACAAAAGAAAATGCAAGCCAATTCCTTAATATGGTTATTATATGAATACATTATTATATTACTTTTATTAATTGAGCAACTTTCTCAAAAGTTTAAGTTGTTAAAACAGTGGTAAATGAACTTTATAGCATGTTCACGGAGATTATAGAACCTACAATAACTACATACTTGACAGAACAAATGTATTACGGAATAACAAAACTGTATGAAGTAATTTGCTTTGTACATTGAGATGTACTAAGCTTACCAGCTAGATAATTGCGCCTATCCATGAGAGCCTCATCCTCCCATACTCTCCAGCTGTGAATCTGGTTTATTAAACTTAGAGTGTTATTATGTCAAGCAGAAATCCAAAAATGATATAACAGAATGTTTTGTCTCCAACTTCGACATTGAGCCAACTAAGTCAATAACACTTAGTAATATCTCAACAAGATTGTTCTATACTATTACATTTCTGTCTAATTCAATGCATTTTAAAATTAATTAGAAATATTGGATACACGCTAGCTGACACTAGAAGTAAAATATAACTGGAAAACAATTTTTAAAAAACAATTAAGCACAAATCACTTTCACTTTCACATAGTGACAATTATGATAAATGTGTAGAAGTTAGGTCTCATCTACATTTAAAAAACAATATCTAACCTTCACAATGGCCAACAGCATTGTTAGGCAACTGTATGATACATGTGTTATCGCCATGACAAAAATGAACCGATGCAACTGCTCTAGACCTTCATACGAAACAAACGGTTCATAACCCTGAGTAACATAACAAATTGCAAATCAACCTTCATTTACATATAGAGCAATAAAAGCTAAAGATAGTCAAATTTAAGACACGTAAGTTATATAGTTCATGCCTCTTTGCAGGAGCTTCTGTTGATTCCATTCAACATCCTTCTAATTAAGCGAGGGTAAGAAAATGCTGTCAATAATTTACGTCCTTCGGATCCATTCTCTTCAATTTCTTTATCAATCTCAGATCTAGTGCATGGAGCAAAAGCACTATTATAGAACTTTGATGGAATGCAAATATTGGCTATCATGCCAGAGGTAGCAGTAAGTAGGAGAGATATAAATCCGAGCAACATCAACTCTGAAGAAAAAATTACAAAATTAAGGGAAATTGATCAGTGAAAAGATACACATCACATAAAATTTGCACAATTCAGAGAAGTCAATAAGGACTAACAACAACAACAACAACAACAACAACAACAAGCAAAAGAAATCTTGTTCATATTTGGAAGAACTTTCAGTAGAATTTAATTCATGTGCACCTTCTTTCATCTTCTCCAAAGCTTCAAGCAAAGGTTTTCTATTAGTTTTCCGCAGCCACTACAACCACAGAAAAAATATTACCGCGGATAAGTCATACCAGAGCATGCAAAAGAAAAAGCTTATATCTTCCCAAACCCTTAAAAAGAGATGTTCATAAGGGTGTGATTGCATCAAGAAAAAGAGCTTCTTTCATTGCTAATAATAGATGCAGTACAGATAAATCAGTCAGAGACAAATATTAAGTTCAAAAATGAACCTAACTACGCTTCAATATTTGTTAGGCAAAACACTTATTTTTATCCAAGTCTTAATCAGTATTGTTAAATAGCTGTTGTAGCACTGTATCATAGCAGAATTTGAACAAATCAATATTGATCCATGACACACTATTTGGTACAAAATAGTGAAATATCTGGCTATAGCACTGTTGCATTGCAGAATTTGAACAAACAGCTATTCGCAGCGATCCCCAATTGACAACACTACTTATAGTTTTTAAGTTAGCAAAATGGCTTAAAAATGCAACAAGCTTCCAATTCCTACCATGCAACTTTTCCCTACATCAAACAAAACCAAAAGCTCTCAACAATACTTACATTGCTTAATCGGTTAATCGAGCGCTCAACGAGCAAAGAAACAGCAACAAAGATGGTCAACACAGTGGCAACAGACCAGGTAGGAGTCAAGGCCAATGACCTTGTTTCTTTTCCATTCTCTGCCATATTGAACTATCCGAAACCAATGTCGAAACCTTATATTTGACTAAGTGCCTTAAAATTAGGGTATCATTTCAAATCAAGTTTGAAAACAATACAAACACTTGGAATCACCTCTAGGCTTCAAAGTTCAAAAATTACAGAAATCCCCCATGGCTTTTCGCAATTGAAAAGATGGGGGAAATACCTATTTTTCTCTATAGAAAATTATAAAATAAACAAGTCTCTTTCTTCTCCTTCCAGAAAGCTCTTGAAAACCCTTCAAATAAACCTCATTTTCAAATCAAGCTCTGCAACAACAAAAAAACAGAAAATAAAATGGTTATTCTTGTTAGTACTGTTTCAAATTTCAATAACAGTTATGAAATCAAAGTATTAACAATTCTAGGAAACTTACAGAAGAATGGTTATGGAAGTTAGAAATGAATCAAGAATGAAAAAGTGAAGATCTCTGTGTGGTGTGTGTCAGTCATAAAAAAGTTGAAAAAAAACAAATCAACGACCTACCCATTATAATTCAATGCCACTAATCTACCTAAATTACTCTTTAAACATTAGTTATTTATGCCTACTGAAAGGACATAAGAGTAAAACACATATAAAAGATATTCAAATTTATATATAAATTTAGTACAATATAAAATGTATTTATATATATATTTAAATTTAAAATTAACAATGATTATATAAATTCAATTGTATTAAAATACAAAGAAAAAAAAAAAACTCGTGAGATAAAAAATAATATTTAATATTTAAAAATAAAAATTTTATCTTTTAAATTAAGGTAAATATTGATTAATATAAAATATGTATTGTGCTAATAGTGACCCGCGAAATAGAAAGTTTATTTGATACAATGTAAAATATATTTATATAAATATGTAAAATTGAAATTAGTTACTTAATTTTAAAATAAAAAATATTTATATAAACTCAATTGTATTAAATAATTATGCAAAAAGAAAAAAAAATGACTCGTGAGATGAAGAAAATTATTTTGAAATAAAGATTTTGTCTTTCAAATTAAGACAAATTGTTGATAAAAATAAAATAGAAATTGTACTGATAAGAACCCGTAAAATAAAAAAAATTGATATGATATAAAATATATTTAGATATAAATACAAAATTTAAAATGATTTACTTAATTGTAAAATAAACAATAATCATATTAATTTAATTGTATCAAAAGAAGAAAAAAAATAAAAATAATTGTTGATTAAAATAAAATAGATTTGCTGAAAGTGAAATAAAAAAATTGATATGATATAAAATATATTTAGATACAAACATAAAATTTAAAATGATTTACTTAATTGTAAAATAAACAATAATTATATAAATTTAATTGTATCAAAAGAAGAAAAAAAATAAAAATAATTGTTGATTAAAATAAAATAGATGTGTTGAAAGTGATCCGTGAGATAAATAAATTTTTAATTTTATTAAAATTAAAAAGATTGATTAATAGTATTTTTAGTGATAATAAATAAATAAAAAATTTGTGATAAAAAGATAATTTAGGGAATTCATACAATTGAATTTGTATATATAAATAATAGATTACTAAAATGTCATTTTAATAGTGTAAATAATTTGTGATAAAAGAATAATGTAGAGAATTCATACAATTAAATTTGTATATATATATATATATATATATATATATATATATATATATATATATATATATATATATAGATAGTAGGTTCATTCACCCACGTGACAGTTTTCAATTTTTCCGAATTTATCGGTAAAAGTAAAATTTTGTTGAAGTAAGCCTTTTAATTAATTTCATAAATAAATAAATAATCTTCTTTCACAGTATTAGTCATTCCATAGTTTTCATAAAAAAAGCTTTTAGCAAAACCTCCGACATCGCCGCCGTTTCTCGTAGTCGTCTCCGTAATCCTCCGTCGCCTTCTTCAACATCACAAACTCTCCGATCACTAAACCCTAACTTCAATTCAATTTGATTTTAATAGATTGAATGATTGATTCATCCATGGGGAAGAAAGGAGGAGCGAAGAATCTCCCAAAATCGGAGTCAAAATCTCACAATCCTATTACACTGAGAGAAGAAGCCACTGGAAAATTGAAAACGAAGCCAATCGTTAACACAAAGTCACATCTGAGAATCGATCATTTGAAAAAGCTTGCGGTGTGGGCCACTACCGACTCTCACATACCGTCTTTGAGTGCCTTCTATGGTCAGCATTTGGCCACCGTTTCAGAGGCCGCCGGTGTACCTCCTGATCCTTCTCTACTCACCTGCCAAAGGTTTGCTCTTTTTTTTTCTCTCTCTATGTTTAGTTAGATATTGCCAAAAAGCCTCAGAAACCGATAGACACTTGCGATTAGTGATTAGGTATAACTTATTCATTTTTTATATTATTATCTGTTTCGTCAATGCATCAGTGTTCATTTTGTGTTTTCGGTGTCCATGCTTTGTATCGTGATGTGTCTACTTATCATTTGGTTTGAAGTGTTAGAGTTAGCATTCATATGGCATACTTTTGATTCATTTGTTAACTATGTAATTTGATACATGTGATATCCTTGATTATTGGTATCTTATGATATACATGTGAGTTGTATCTTGATTTGGAAAAAAAGTTGAATTCAGTTGATGTGAATCTTGAAGCTTGTATTGTTGAATTAATTGTTAAGAGTCCAATAATTTGATTGAACCAAAGCTTGTATATAAGACAATGGTTATCTGCATCTTAAGATACTTGTGGGTGAAATCTAATTCAGAGCAACACTGAACTTTATTGATATGACTCTCTTTGTGCATGTCTATTCTACACATGAATCTCGTTGGGAAGCACGAAGTTGTATCTAATTCTAAACATAACTGAACCTTATTGATATGACGCTCTCCATGCGTATCTATTTTAGACATGAATCTCATCATGAATCTAGTGTTGTCGATGGCGGATGGCGGTCCATGGAGAGCCAAAATCCCGCTATATTGGCCGCGTTGCGGCGCCGTTATTGCAGAAAAACCTGCAATAGCGGCCAATGTTTACCACTGCGTCGAGCCCAAAAACCGCCATGGCGCCGCAATTTGATAACACTGCACGAATCAGGATTCATTTTGATGAATAGCAACTTGCTCACAAACGAACTTTATGTATCCACTGGCCAGTCTCTTTTTTTGTCACTTATGTGTAGTCAACCACTTTTCTTTCAAATCATAGGTTTGTAAATTGTATAAGATATATTAACTTATGTTTTTGCACATGTTATATATTTTTACTTCAAAATGTCATATTTTTATGGATCACCTGTACTCCTCATCATGAATCTTATCTAATATATAATTAGAATGCAGACACATGAACCTGATAAAAGCAGTTTCAGCTTATGTACTACTCATGCAAGGATTAGTGTGTACAAAGATATAATTAGATATGAAATCATTAGTGAGAAAGTTGGCATATAGCTTTCATGGTAGAAATATGGTTGGGAATAGCTTTCATGGTAGAAATATGATTAGTGTTGTTTTACTTTTAGGTGGTTTTTGCATGCAGCGGTAGAAGCACTAATAATTACAGTCAAATGGATACCAAGGAAAATTATAGATCAAACCATTAACAGATATTTTGATTGAAATGTTTATTAGTAGAATTTATTTATGACACAGTAGTTCATGTAGCCTACTAGGTGGTTTTATTAGTTTTTATGTGTCATGGATCTTATTGTATTTCATTTCAATTTGGAAAATAGATCTTTTGATTTATGGTATAAATCTCAATTTGGAAAATACATCTTTTGATTTATGGTATAAATCTCAATTTGATAATCATGGACAATTCCAGTAGCTTTAAAATGTCTTAATTCTATTACTAACATTTTTTTATTTGTTTGAATATTAAATCATATATTATTCTTAGGTTCTCCTTAAGCATTTGATATTTGGAGTTTTCCTATGATTCATAAAACATGTTAATCATTGTTTGGTTTCTCTGCAGGTGCGAAACTGTTCTTCATCCCGGCTTTAATTCAACTGTACGAATTGAGAAGAATAGATCAAAGGTCAGACACAGGCAAAAGAAGTTTAGCAACATCGCCCAAAACAATGTCGTGTACAAGTGCCATTTCTGTTCACATCAGAATATCAAGAGAGGTACCCCTAAGGGACATTTGAAAAAAATATGCCCGGCGAAAGATAAACCATCATTAGAATCAATGCCCGCTGCAAAACCAATTGTACACAAATCTTTAAAATTAGAGAAACACATGGTAAGCAAAGATGAAGGTGGTGAAATACACACTGTTGGTTCAGAAGTTGTAGTTAAGGACGTCGCCCCTATTAAGGGTCTGGAAACTCCGTTTAGTACAAGTACACCAACATTGTTAGAAGCAAAGAAGAGAAGTAGAAACAATTCCGTGTCCAAGAACACGTTTGAAACTCCAAGCATGTCTGCAAGAGTAAATACTCAGAGCACTGCGAGCAAAAGACGGAAAAAATCATGGACCAGTTTAAAAGAAATTGCTAAGAGCAAAGAGCGTGATAACAGTAAAGTCACTAATTTAACAATCCCATTTTTTTTATAACTAGGAAGATTTTTGCATAGGTCATTTATATCAAGCAATTTTGTTGTTTTTGCTGTGTTTGATGCTCTCTATTGTAGGAATTTTTGTACTGAGAATGAGAATATTTAATTTTAGTTGTGGATGAAAATGACAGCTCAGATTAAATTTTGAATTATAAATAACTTTTTTGTTTTATCTCTTAAGCTCTTTGTTGATATGATCCTTCTAACTCTCAAGTTAAGAACTTCTCTGCTTTTGTGTATATCAGTTCAATTCACAATGCACCTAAGAACTGAGTTATATTTTGTTCATTAAAATAAATCATGTTCAAGACATTACACCAGTTTCTCATTGAAGGGCAGTCAAAGATTGAAGTTCAAATTGAGGATGAAATGTTATGTTAAAATTTGAACTGAATTCAAGGTGACAGCATAGAACAAACTTTCAATTACATATAAAAATGATTTTAGATTTACATAAATATTAAAAGGGTGTATGGGATGAAATCTTAGCTTGGCAGAATTGGTCATTCATTATAAAGTCTATTAGTTTTGAAAATTAGATTTATTGTGGTTTGATTTGGAGTTATATCTTTAAATCTTGGATTTTATTTAGAAGTTTGACCTGTTGATCTCTTGTGAAGATTTGACTTGGAGACTTGGTTTTTATCTGATGTTTGGTTATTCCTCTGCTTATCTTATTGTTTATTTTGGTTGTTTGAGTCTAAAGGATGGGAGTTTTGCCTTATTTATGTCAAAGGCTTGTATCTTGGTTAGGTATTTTCTTCCTTAACTTTTATTTGATGTTTTAAGATAGTCTCTTCATCTCCTTCCCCTTCTTTAATTTTCAAAATCTTCTCCCTGTTTCAAAATTTTCTTCTTTCAAACTAGAACCTCTTGCATAATAAATCTTGACTTTGTCAAGTGTACTTTCAAACTTCATTTTCTTAATAAATGCTAATCAATCTTAAGTATATTTAGACCATTTTCAAAAGACTTAAAAAATACTTAACTCATTCAAACCATTTTGTGCACTTTTTGCTCTTAAAACTTTTAGTAAAGTTTAGACATGAGTCATTATAGTTGAGACGTGATCCTCCTCACTCCATAGTATTGTTTGAAATAAGTTGACACTTTTTTTTTATCTTGGAGAGTTAGTGACATACTTGTTGATTTTATCCAAGTTGGAGCCCTTTTCATGGTGATACAAAGGTCCATTTTCACATACTTGTGGGTGGTTAGTTCAGTTGAAATTTTCTCCTTAAAATGACAAGTTGTCTTTTCATTTAAAATGAATTATAACACACCATTTTTGTTATTTGTACCACGAACTACGAGGTTTTGATCCTCCATTGCACTTTGTGGGTACGTAGGCACAGGGCTTAAGAAGTCTTGTCAAACACAAATTATAAAAAAAATACTTCTCTTCTCACCATCTTTGGCAAACAACACCTTTTTAAGTCAAACACTAGAACTTCTTTAGGTTTTAGAAGTTTTGAGTGCTAACACTTTTCCTTTGCATAAAAAAAATACTTATCTTCTCACCATCTCACTATAGACGTTTTGAGTGCTAACACATTTCCTTTGCATAACCAACCCCTTTATCATATCTATGTTTTTATTTGTTCTTGTTTTAGAACTTCTTTAGGTTTTGTTCGCTCTTCTCCTTTTCCTTTGGAAAAATAAAAGTCTGGTGGCGACTCTTGTTTTATGAGTTAAGGTAATCAATAGCTTCATCTCAAAATTTTCCGCTATAGAAAAGTGGTGACTCTGCTGGGGACTAGTCCCTAGTGGGTTAAGCCTATCTTTATTTATCTGTGTTTGTATTATATCTGTTGTTTGCTGTTGTTTGTTTTATTTTGGTGCTTTGGTGATCTATTAGTGGTGAGATAAGTCCTATACCAAGACTTAAGAGCACTTATAATAAGAGAGTGATATAGTCTTGTTCAACTTACGAGGAGTAGTCCTTACTAAGTTGACTTGAGATCCCCTGCTCAGTGGAGGCCCATTTGGGATTACTGATGTCATACGAGTAATCGTAAATGGCATTACTTTTTTCGATCTGTGAGCCCGAGAAGTCGAGGACCTTAGAACCCTTTAACCCATCTTGATCATTTTAGGACATAGTGTAGTGATTATTTAGGTGTAAACTTGAATTAGTTGTTACACGACACTATACTCAGATGAGTTTCTCTTGAGAATATTGTTGGCTGATGAGTAGTCGTTTAAGTCGATAATATCCAAAAGATGGAATCATGACTCTGGGAACCTTTTAGAACCTTGTTATACAAATGGATATAAACCTTAGTACATACCATTCTGGATGGTTCTTACTCTTGGCTTCATGCTCGTGAATCATAACCTTTGACCTTGTTTGTGATCTTGTTTGTACTTGTTGTATCATGTACTCATGAATTCATAGACATATTATTTCAATCATTTTTCAAGGATCTTAGAGATTTTACTTTGCAAACATCGCATATTTTGTGATTATGAACATTGGAAGGAGAAATACTCGGAAGTATAGTTTCCGAACTCCTGATCTTAGAGCTTTGAAAAAGCTAGCATCCTTTGTAGTTAATCCAATAGATTTTAGATCTCATCATGGAAGACTCTTGTCTGTTCTTTCAACTAACATTGAAGACGAAATTCTGAATACTCTAGTGTAATTCTATGATCATGTTTACTGATACTTTACATTTCCTAATTATCAGCTCTTACCGACCTTGGAGTAATACACTTATCTGTTAGGTATACCAGTTTCTAATGAGGCTCCTTATACTGGTTTGGAGGAAGTTCCTAAGTCCCAAGTTATTGTTGCAGCCGTCCATTTGAGGAAATCTAATATAGATGCTAACCTTGTTGTTAAGGGAGGAATTAGAGGGTTGACTTCTAAGTTCTTGGTTGAGAAAACTACTTCATTTGCTAATGCTGGTACATATTGGCATTTGAGGCTATTTTTGCTTTGCTTATCTACTGACTAGTCTTGTTCGCTAACGTTGACAACTTTGTGGATGTTAACTTTATTCACATATTCTTGATAGGGAACCATGTTCCGACTTTACTTGGTGATACCTAATTTTCTATCCATCATAGAATTTCTAAGGGAAATGGTACGATTGTTTGCTACACACCTTTGTTGTACAAGTGATTTATTTTGCACTTGCTGCAGTAATCTACTTTCAAGGAGAACAATGGTTATTTAAGATGGTCTTAGAGGATCATGTTGTAACACCCTAAATAAACCTCCATAATATTCTTAAATAAAACATCAGAGTAATTAAAGAAATATACGAAACTTAGGATGTTACGGTCAACATACAAAATTTGAACATTATTTTATTCGCACTGGAATGATAAACTCATTTATTGTTTCATGTCATGTAAAAGTCAATGCAGCATCACATAATCCATTAAAAGTAATTAGACAAGATAAAGGAGATGTCCACAATCTCGAAGAGAATATAAATCATAAAAACGTTCCCACGACTTCCCAGTGTTACAATCAGAGCAAACACCTACTATAAAGAAGGGATAAGGAGACTTCATTTTCAACTCACACTTGATTCATACTGCGAAGTATCTGCACATTGCCCACGTGGAGGCAATGTTCAAATAAAAGGGGTGATATATCATGATATTATAAAGGAAAGTATGTTAAACAACATGCACTAAGTTAGCACAACAACAATTCAACTAACATCTCACATCAATCATCCAACGATATCATCACCAATTATTCACCAAATAACAACAAATCAAATGATATAAATCAATTTTAATCAACCATCACCACGTATTTAATAACTTAGCAACATATATGACATATAATGCAATGAGACTCACACCCGACTCAATACGTATGCATGTGGTACCAATTTTCGTGAACACTCAGGTTCACCGTTCTGATCCCCACCTCCTAGGATCAAAACCACTCATTGACCCATCACCTCCGAATCATCTACGGGCCCAATCCATACAATGGGATTTTAGGCTCACCAACAACGGACCGTTTATCCATAAATGCATGCAATGCAACTATTTATGCATACAACAACACCAACATCATCGTGTACAATAACCCACCACCATGGTTATTATACACCGCCCAAATTGGCTAACAAGCATAAAAATGTATCTCATACAGTATAGACATACACACATACACACACACACACACACGCACACACACACACATATATCAGTTAGAAAAACATCGTTCATCACACAATCAAATAAAAATTCCATCATTGATCAAGTATTCATAGTAATCATAATATAGAATAACATTCCACTCATAAGAAAAAACCTAACTTTTACCCACCATTCAACATATTAACCCTTATAAAACCAGAACCCCACCCTTACCTTGAAATCAAGCTTTTTAGACTTTCACTGATGGTGGTTCTCTTCTTATCCTCTAGCCCTAGCCTTTCTCACTGTCAGTTCCACAACACGTACGATCAGAAACGGATTCCAATCTTCCAATTCCCTTATAACACCCTCAACTATGGTTTGTCTCTTATGCCCTTACTTATTCCTCTAACTATCTATTATGCCCTCAACATTCTCCCAATTGCCAATTATGTCTCTCCTTCTCATTTTCACCTTAATATTATTTTATTATTATAATATCATTATTCCAATATTAATATTACTAATTATTTTATAACTAAAATAATAACAACATTAACTCGTAATAATTAAATTATTAATATTACTTATTAATCATTCTCACCACACTACAAATTCTACAAGATTAGCTACGCACCCCTCACCCTCGAGGTCATTAACATTAAGGTCACTGCCCCTTACCACAGGGTATCCCAAACATAAAAAAGCACACATAATCATATTTATACATACAACTTCACAAAATTAAATTACAAAAAATAATTTAAAGTAAACAGAGCATTACACATGTCCCTTACTCATGTTGATATTACTTGGTGTTCTTCTGTGTATGAGAATGTCAAGATCAATGATATTTGTGGGAAATTCTCCAATGTGCCTCTTCTTGGT